AATGTCGTCGTATATCTCGTACAGCTCATCGTTCCATCGAATGCGATATTCGCCGTGGCCAACGCGCAAAGGACCATAAATCTTTCGCAGAACTTTTCTCTCGACTCATCAGTTGTTGTCATCGTCCAAGCCTCTGCACCATATAGCAGGACGGGTATTATGAGTGACTTATAGAGTTTGGTTTTTGTTTGTCGAGAGAGGACTTTGCTTCTCAATTGCCTACTCAGTCCGAAGTAGCACCTGTTGGCAAGAGTTATCCTGCGTTGGATTTCTAGGCTGACATTGTTGGTGGTGTTTACGCTGGTTCCAAGATAGACGAAATTATCTACAACTTCAAAGTTATGACTGTCAACAGTGACGTGAGTGCCAAGTCGCGAGTGCGACGACTGTTTGTTTGATGACAGGAGATATTTCGTCTTGCTTGAAATACTCTGGAAGCAAATTATGCTAAACAAAACCACGTGGTTACAAACTACCATCGGTAAAAAGCTTAAAGGTTTTTACCGTCTAAATTGTCAACAATGAAACTACATAACCGTAGAGAACGTGTTGGGATCTTCGTGAACCAATTTCATATTGTACATTTTAAGTCAGGATTTTTTAAACAAATTTTGGAATAAAAACATCCCAGGAGTCTCGAAACGGTTAAATTCTTTATCTGATCGAAATGGAAGTACGTTCACAAATTCGTCTTCGTGTCGGTACCGTCATTTAAATATTCGCTTTGAAATTCAACAATATAACTCACAGATTGACCGATATTTTCTGTAAAATAGCAGCCGTAGACATTGAAATCTATGTAAATATTATGCGGCTGCTGGCTTAAGAACTTATAGTCGGATTTTAAAATCCTTAAGGCGCGATGTGGGATTCTCTACAAAGCTTCATTCCGATATTTCCATTGGTGCTTGATTAAGGTACCGTATTGTTATGTAATGCAGTGATGAAGTTTAAAATTATGATACATTGGAAGTTAGCGTGGTCATGACATAATGGTGTCAATTTAATATTAATAATAATTTCTGCTAAACGGTGGCTGTCTACGTCATTATGCATAATTTAACACTTTTGACTTTTTTGGTAATGAATTATTGCATGTTTATTAATTTTCAATGTAATATAAGGGTTGGGTGTAGTTATCCTCTCTTATTTTACAAATTTTCGACCTTTATGAGTAAATGCTGAAGTAACTTGCCTTCAATAAGATTGGTTGATATAGATATTGTGGTATATCAGATATGTCGCTTACGCGGCCCGTCTGATATCTCCAACGGAGTGAAGGTCTTCCTCTTCCTCTGCTGCCACTGGTGGGTAATGAATCGAAAACCTTCAAAGCTGGAGTGTTTTCTTCCATGCAAACAACATGACCTAGCCAGCACTGCCACTGGCTATCGCTGAACTATATCAATGTCGCCATATATCCCGTACAACTCATCGTAAAATTATCTGCGGTATTCGCTGTTGGCAAGAGTGATTTTGCGTGGGATTTCAAGACTGGTATTATTGTTGATAATGATGGTTCCAAACTAGACGAAATTGTCTACGTTATAACTGCAAACGTGTGAGCCAATGCGATGAGTGTCTGTTTGATGACACGAGATATTTCGTCTTGTCCTTGTACCAATGATATCAATAGCATATAGAAGATAGTATTTTCTCTATTTTTCTGTGCAGCTTGTATTAGTTTTTTCCAGCAATAGATTGAAGGAGTCACACGATAAGGTGTTTCTTTGTCTAAAGAGGTACGTCTTGATCGTGACGCAGCTTTTGCTGTTGTCAATCTCAGCTTACACAACTGCATTAGTTTTGTGGCGATAAAGGCAGTTATGTTGCAATCATCTGGCCGAGGTTGATGCGTACACCTCGCCAGTTCTTTGCCGCCGTATTTGAATGGCTCGGCACCTGCCGCTTTGTAGTTATTCATGCGGGTCATTCCTATTCGAACCTCATCATAGTCGTGCAATGCAACATAACTTTAGAATGCTCTGAACATCAGTCACTAGATTATCACTTTGGGTCCTACAATAGTATGCTATGGTCTTGAAATCTTCCGTTAGTCGCCGCATCCTTTCGTAGAATTTTAGAGCACAATCCCTGTCGGCCGGCTTTACAAACTCTTTTCTTCTCTTTTCTTAAGCATTTCGATCTTTCGAAAGTGTTAGGATCCGTGCAGAGAGGAAACAAGGAAGGTCGGAGAGATACAGTGACTCACACGTCTAACTGGATGCGTGCATTGCCAATGATGACACCCTCCAATCAAAAAGTAAAAATCTTAAGAATGATACATCAAATGAAAGGAAAAATCTTCTATTTTATTTTTGGAAACTTAAAACTAGTAATAAATGTATTCACTGCATAAAATTTAGAAAAATAACTCGCAGCATACAAAATTTGTTCCACACAACTAACCGGATTTTTTAAAAAGCTAATGATTACTTATACTTCGTAGCATATTTCTACAGATAAAAATGGTTCTAGTCGCCTTGGTATAGAGGCGACAAGTTTTTGATAAAATTCTGGTGGTATTGCCTTCCAAGCCTTTTGAGCCCAGCATCATTGAAGTACTGCTCTTGGTACTCTTTTCGACTGACTTCTTGCCATACGTGCTTAATAACGTTCAGATCTGAGGATTGGGCAGGTGTACCCAGTACATAAGTGCCATTGTATATAAACCAAGTATGAGCAATCGCCGATTTGGGCTTCGGATTGTTGTTTTGGTAAAATATAAAATCGTCTTTAATTCCCAATGTTACACATGAYTGCTTTAAATTTTCCTTTAAAATGTCGTCATATTGGAAACGATCCATAGTACTTTGCACTAAATGCAAGTTGCCCGTTCCTTTAGCCGATATAGTACATCCTCAAACCATTACTGACCCACCACCGTGCTTAAGTGTTGGCCTAGTATGTTTTGGCAAGTAAGCTTCGTTGGGACGCCGCTATACAAAACTTCAGCCATCTGATCCCTGCAAGTTAAACTTGATATCGTGTGTGAAAGGAACCTTGAAAAAGCAGTAATAATACTGTTTTATGATTACTAAATCAAAATTATGCCATTTTCCCTTTGCCTGAACTCATCAGGCCTTTTTAAATGCAATTTCACAAATTCTAGCCTTTTCTTTCTATGTTTTTCGAATATGTACGCCTGTTTTACAACTGCTCTACCATGTAAATCGAAGATTCTAAGTGTGCGGCGAATTGTTTCGACTGAARCCTTCTTTTCTTTTCCACTTTCCAATATTTTTCTTACATTACTTACTTCTTATAATTTTCCGGTTAGTTGTGTGGAACGAATTTTGTATGTTGCGAATTATTTCTYTAAATTATACGCAGTGAATGAATTTGATACTATTTTTAAGTTTCCGAAAATAAAATAGAAGATTTTTCCTTTAATTTGATGTATCATATGTACCATTTTTAAGATGTTCACTGTATGATTGGAGGGTCTCATCATTGGCAATGCACGCATCCGGTTAGACGTGCGAGTCACTGTAGTTGTTTACATTTGAACACATGCCATCGATTCCATTGCCCGACGTCAAGCAGAGCGTTGAAGGTACTCTCAGTAAATTCTGTGAAGCCGACGCAGTTAGCTTTGTTAAAGTTAACGAAGGTACCGATGTCCACAGAAACAAAATCAGGAGGTTTGTCGATAAATATGGGCAGATGGCAGGTGCGAGAGTTAGCATAGCTCGCCAGGTTATGCTATTTAGCAGACCACCACTAGCAATGGTAAAATCAGGCGAGCTATTATAGGAGCCCATAACTCTGGTGAAGAATGTCGAATTGTCAATCTGTTCCACCAACTAAATCCCCCTACGATTGTGTGACAGGCAGGAAGGCCAAAGATCGTGGTGCGCGTTAAAGTTGCCTAGTACCAGACGGTTTTCACCACGAAGTAGCGCACCTACATATATTCGAGTGATATCCCGTAGGGCAACATTTAACTGGGGGGATGTATAATATTAAATATTTTGAACTGGATATCGCTTTACGGGATAGCTGTACCTTGATATTCTAGGATAGTATCCCTGCGGTCAATGTCTTCATCGATTAGACGATATTGCACGGTGTTGTGCAATCTTGCTCGCGATCCTTGAAATGTTGAAACCGGTACAACTCAGAAGATCTGAGCGGCTGTTTAGATTGATTTCTTGGACTGCGTTAGATACGCGTTCCCCGTTCATAAGTGCAACTATCTCCTCGATCTTGCTCTGGAGTCCGTTGCAGTTGCATTGAAGATTGCGGGTTTGTTGGGGGTGTCCGTGGGTGATCCTGGGGGTGAGGGAGTGGTGTGTAGGTGGTGTTTGTTGAAACAGTAGAACCCGCAGGGGCGGTTGACACACTGTGGTGTTGTTTAGCGACGCTACTGTTGAGTGTAGCGTGGGCAGACTCCTGCATGGGGCAACGGATGACTTAGTCCACTCACGCATACTGCGCAGACCGGATAGTGACACCAGCCAGAATTGCAGAGAAAACAGCCCTTGACCGGATAAAATTCGAGAGAGTCATAAGCGCTCATAGAATTCATATTAAAGTCGCCAAGCACGATTTTGATATCTTGGCGAGGCCAGCTCTCGTAGAAGCGCTCCAAGCAATTAGACTTCAGCAATACCCTTAAATCGAACATGTCGATGTGGCTACGATGAAACTTACTCTCATTTATCCGTGACCACCGGCTCCACACGGGTACGCCACCGCATTTTACATAAGGGTTTCTCACGCTTCCAGAGTGCGCGGCGAGACGCAAGAGTTGGAAATAGGCATAGCCCTTCGACTGTAACTCCTAACTCAGAAGCATAACTATGTCCATTACATCATATTATAGGGTGGGCTTGGCACACTTCCTAAGTCACAGTTTCATGTCTTAATTTGTGGTTTAGAAATTTTCGCTTAACAGACCACGTGTATTAATTGTTTAATATTTTTACATCCTCAGTTCAACTCGTCTCATTAAATCCCACAACACAAAATAAAAATATTGAGGTTTTATGTTTCAGAAAACGAATCGAGTGATACAATGCCAACAAGTGGATCACTGCAACAACAAGTACATTATCAGCCCCATACAGCATCACATATAGAAGAAGTTGCCTCTGCAAAATCCGACTGTATTCGACAGCAACTGTGCTTTTTACAAACCGATCAACAGCAGACACACCATCTTTTGTCTAAAACAAAAGTAAATCAAGGGAAGGAAATATCAGCAGATGTAAATGTCATTGCGGACGTAATTAATAGCAGTAGTACCGAAAGGATTGTTGCAGACGGAAATTATTCACAAGCGCAACAAGTTTCCAGCCCATCATTGACTACTACAGTTGACACATCAAGTAGTGTTCCAAGTTCTGCAGTAGGTTTGGGTACTAATAGAGATTCAGTGTATTCAGAATCGCAACAAGAACTTCAAACTTTTGAATCTGATAAGGATGGGGACTTAGAAAAATCTGCCGGTAGCAGCTTACCTGAAATTACAACGAATATCAATGATACACACCTGCAGGGGACTGATATACTAGGGCGAAATATGCAACTTATACAGGAAACACAGGATGTAATACAAGGAAATAAAAGTATTTCTAATATTGATAGTGGCACGGAACAATCTTCCGAAAGTGATCGTATTGAAATTGAGACGAAAAATTTGCCATCATCTTGTGAAGCGCAGAATACTAGTGATTTGGAAGACACCTCTAAAGTGGAATACAACCCCAAAGTGAATACATCACCGTTCAGTGAACATGAAGAAAACCAAGACAGAGCTCAAACTCGTACTCAAGTCGTACAGCCTCAGACTTCAAGATCAATACATTCTGAGAAGACAAATGAGTGTGACGAGACTGATCATCAACAACTTATTGAAAACTCCGTATCTAGTCCGGTTGGAGAGTTAACAGAAAATGTTCAAAAGTTTACATCTGAAACAGAGGAAATACAGCATTCTGCCAGTGACTTTAAAAATAGTAACGTTAGCATCGGAAAAAATATGAATGCAAAAGAGGAGGAGTCTACTAGCAATATTACCTGTTCAGAAAATAACGCTTCTAGTGTTGCTGGTCAGCCTGTAATACAGGAATTTCTGATTAGCTATAATGAGGGTCAGTGGTCACCCAACAATCCATCAGGGAAAAAGCAATACGACAGAGTACAACTTCTAAAATTACGTGAGGCGATAGCATCTCGTCGGCAACCTGAAGTTAAGAATGTGTCTATACTACCTACGCCTAATTTGATGCCATCCTTTATTCGCCAATCAAAACAACGTGTTAATTGTATGGGCAGTTCCTTAAGCACTAATCGAGGTGTTACTGGAAATGCATCCGCAGCCGATGGCTATGGAAATAAGCAAGCATCTATGTCAGGAGTGCATGGACGTGGGAGCATAAAAGACAATAATGGTAATGACAATATCTACAATAATTTTGAAATATTTATACTGATAAAAGTTATATTTTGTATTAATATAATGGAAGTATGTATTACATAATATACATAACTCTAATTTCTATCAATAGGAATGATACTTGTGAACCTTTCACTCAACCAAGACGTTAAATTAAATGAAACTGACAATGCCTGGCGTCCTCGAATATTGCTTAAACTTGATGTCATGGGTGATCCAGAGGCTAAATCAAAACGCGAAAAAGAAGAACTTATATGTCGTATCCGTGGAATATTAAATAAACTTACACCTGAGAAATTTGATGCTTTAGTTGAAGAAATAATTAAACTGAAAATCGATACTCCTGACAAAATGGAAGATGTAATGGTTCTTGTGTTTGAAAAAGCGATAGATGAACCAAATTTTTCAGTATCGTATGCTCGTTTATGTCATCGTTTGATTTCCGAGGTAAAGAGACGAGACGAACGAATGGAAAGTGGTACGAAGACTAACCTTGCCCAATTCCGCGCAGCATTACTTGACAAAACCGAACGCGAATTTACATACAATGTTACGAAAAGTATAGCAAAAGAGAAAAAATTGCAGCCAATTATTGAAAAAATAGCAGAATGTACGGATTTAATTGAAAAAGCAGAATTAGAGGCGCAGCTAGAAGAAGAGGAACGAAAAATTCGCCGCCGCTCAGGTGGCACAGTACGTTTCATCGGAGAACTTTTTAAAATCTCTATGCTTACTGGAAAAATTATCAATTCTTGCATTGACGCTCTGTTGAATCCTAACTCGGAAGATCAGCTTGAATGTTTGTGTAAGCTTTTAACCACGGTTGGAGAAAAATTTGAGCAAACACCAATTAACACAAAAGAATCAACGCGTTGTTATTCGTTAGAAAAGACCATGAACCGCATGCAAGCGATAGCATCGAAAACTGACAAAGAAGGGGCAAAAATTAGCTCCCGTGTCCGGTTTATGTTGCAAGATGTAATTGATTTGCGTCGAGATAAATGGCAATCTAAAAGAAACGAAGCTCCTAAAACAATGGGACAGGTAGAGAAAGAAATGAAAAGTGAGCAATTATCTTCACAATATCTAAACTATGTTGGAACGATGTCAGGAGGGGGAAGCGGCGGTTCTAGTGGATCCTCGTTAGGTTCTGGAGGCAAACGAGATGAACGCGGGGGTGGGGGTAGATTCAACGACGCAAGGTCCGGGTACGGAGGCAGTCATAGTCAACGAGGAGATACTAGTAGCATGAGACGCCAGCAGCCAATTGGAGGAAATAGTGGCAATAATACTTCGAGCGGCCTCCATTTTAATTCTAATGCCGATGACAGTACATGGCACGTTCAAACGAGCAAAGGAGGTAGTCGTGTTTTGGATCCTTTGAAACTAGAGGGTTTGGTTAGTATGCTTCTTCTATGAAACTTTAGTGAAATTTATATTTAATAATGTTGCTTGCAGTCCACCGCCAATAATTTTGATAACAAAAAAATGGGCGGCGTAGGTTTGTTTGTTTGGTCAAATGGCTCAAGGCAATCTTCAACAGCTTCATCCACACCTACGAATTCTTTTGCAGCCTTATCTACACTTAATGATACTAATAGAGGTAGTGATAGAGATCGAAGTGGACCTCGAAATAAAGGTTCATATAACAAAGGATCTATAGAACGTGACCGTTATGGTATTATCTGAATTATAAGGAATATATATATATATATAAATATATATATAAAGTATGTATATCTTTTGTGTGTAGGAATGCTACCACGATCTGGTTCCTCTCAAACGTCGCGAGAGAATTCATCATCACGAGGTGTGCAACAAACACGTTCAGCCTTGACTACGTCATCAGTACCGAAGACTTCAAGCCACAACAAATACTTGCAACAGCAAATGTCATCCAACAGGACAACTAAGGTATAACCGATAAACAGAAATTCTCAAAATCTTGGTGTATTTGTATACATATTAATATCTTTATTTTTGTTTTAGTTAACAGGTGTGGGATCATCTTTATATCCGCAACGCGGAATTGATTCGTATTCCCATTCAAATCCACAAACGGAAAGTAGTAGTGGGAAACTAATGGAGCCACCGGTGGCTGTGTTTGAAAAGCTCAACGACGAAGATATTCTAGTCATTAAATCGGTTGTTTCAGATATGGTAGATATAGGATCGAGTAGCAAGACACTAAAAAACTCTGTAGAATCCTGTATTCAGCGTGTAAAAGAGAATCAACGCTGTGCTCTTATATCTTACATTATGACAGATTATTTGCATTTGCGACATATAGGGAAACTGCAAAGACGATATTTAGGCAATGTAGTTGTATCCTTAATTGACAGTAATTTTATATCTGTTAAACATTTTAAATTAGCTTACAAGCACTTCTGCGAAATAGCCAGTGACTTATCGGTTGATATTCCTAACCTCTGGGAGTATATCATTCAATTCACAGGTAATTACGCATAAGTTAACGCGGCCTACATTTTTAATAAATTTTTTTTCATTTTATAGGGCCTCTAATCAGCAGAAAGCTTATGTCAATATCTGATTTGTGGAACAAACAATTAAAGGAAGTCTCAAGTGATGACTCACGCCTCGGGAAAAAGTTTTTAAAAACATATCTAGCATACTGCTTGAGTCAAATCGGCCCTAGCTTTACGCGATCAATGTGGAAGAAGTCAAATAGCAAATGGACAGATTTCATGCCTGAGAGTGATGTCCACAGTTTTATACAAACAAATGTGGGTAGTTTCATGTTTACCATTTTATAATTCAACAACTTGATTCATATTTTGTGCAGAAATTCGAATACATTGAGAACGATAAACTACAACCTACAATAGTAATAAACGGGTCTAAAGACGACCATATAGCAGCAGTTGCAGAGAACGTCGAACATCTCCTAAAAGAGGAAGCCCCGGCAGATTATATAATAGATTACATTAACGTGAGTAATGTAGTTACGCGCTTATTAATAAAAAAATCATAAACGTTACATATTTTTAGGGAAACATTGTTGATATTGATAAACAATTTATCAGAAGTTTAGCAACTAAGTTATGTGATTTCGCGATTTCATACCGGGAAAATAGTTACAAGTTAGAAGTGAACTGCTTCCAAAAGGTTTGCATTCCGGTTTTACAACGCTATATTGACTCAAAAGAAGAATTTGAATTGGAATGCTTGTACGCAATGCAGCTGTTGGTAGCACGGTTGGAACATCCCAGAGGTAGGAGACGCTTGTTTTCAGCAACGTTGTTTCAATTCTTCATTTCATAATATTTGGTTTTTCTAGGTTTGCTCAGTGACCTTTTTGGTGAACTATACGATGCTGATGTAATACCTCAAGATTCATTTATTAAATGGCGAGACTCGAAAGATCAATCAGCTGGCAAAGGTATAGTCCTTTAAAATTATTTTTATAAACCAGCAAGTTAATTTTTAATTCTTTAGGTGTTGCTGTCAAAGGACTTAATCCATTTTTTACTCATATACTTAGCAGTGAGACCAGCGACGAAAATAATTAACGAATCAACAAATTCGCATGTACCGAAGCCTTGCGATAAAGACCTGTTCTATGTTTAATGTGTATACAATTGGGTCGCATTTATCTACTGTAAAACCATTAACACATACTATTATATGTAAATGCGTGAAATAGTCTAAACAAACCATAAATGCATATATTTTGCACCGTTAAATGAAAAATTGAAAACTTTGGGTGAAAATAAATTAACGTCTTACCTATTAAAAAATAAAAAGAAATGAATATGAAAATAGTGTTATAAGCTAATCTTATATAATTATTTTGGATTCTATATTTTCGGGAACATAATTTGGCGAACATGTTAAGCATATTTAAAAGAATACAAATTAAGGAACCAACAATATATTAAATTGTAAGAAAATGAAATTCTTGATAATTGTCAAGCGTATATTTCAAACAAATCATGCTAAGAACTAAAACATCTTTAAAGCTTATACTGGCGTTCAAGATACATCTCTGAGAGATTAATGATGTAAAATATAATAACTAAGCATAATGTAAACAAGTTTTTAAATAAATATATATAAATCATAAACTTTATGAAAAAATTAATTTGAATTGTTTTTTTTTTTCGTATATAACCGAAGACAACCTTTTCTAAGATAAAGTTTGAAACGTACAGATCCAAACCATTAAATTCCGGTAAGGTAAAAGCGGCTATCTGGGAAATCGCAATGTAAAATTTCGATCTATGTACTAAAAAAGGATAACCTAGGCGGGAGGTTGAATCCGATGACTACCAACCCGAATTTTACCATACAAGCGGTGATTGGCGGCGTTTTCGGTAATGCAATCTATGTAATATGCATGATGCAATCGGTCGAAAAAGCAGACTTTTATTGAAAGTTCGAAAAAGAATCACAGTTCCGTAAAATGCGCAACACTTACAACATGTAAAAAGTATGTATAAACCAAAACAACTAATAGCTAAAATGTCATTTTAAGTTATATATTTAAAGGACACGTATACAAATTTTGCAACCGAGGAACTATTAGTAAATTTTGCGTGAAGAATCATGAGTTAGTTTACATAAATGGATCCAAAAACATTTTGTGTGTTAATAAAGCATTGCTTTTTGTGGGAAAAATTCTTTACCAGAGAAACCAACATTTATAAAGAGATTTGCAAAGTTAGAAAGAGACGAAATGAGCACCGAGGACAATGAAGGCAGTGGACGCCCTAAAGAGCGAAAGTTATATACGAAGTGATCTCATGTTCAGAATCCAACAAAAACAACGAATTGCTGATTCCCAGGAATACTCTTTATCGTGATAAAAACGAATTTTTGGGTCGGTGTGCGACAATAGCTCCATCATTTCACACTAGAGTCCAATCGTCAGACAATATAGTGGACTGCACATAATGAGAAGGTGGACAAGTTTAGGCTGTTGGATATCTTCACTACAGCGCTTCTCATGTGACCATTGTTGCTCTTTATGACACCCAAAACAATTCCCTTTGTCCTGGTGGCAAAAATCCTCTTAGCTGTATCGTCCGCGTGGGTATCGACTGGGCAATGTGTGTCGTTGGATACAATGTCATGATATCAAACCGACTCCTGGCAGACATTACAGGCAGGTAAGCCCTAGCGAACGCTGATGTATTTTCCCAATTGATGTAGCGTTGCAAGCACGAACGCACAAGAAGAGCTTGTTCGCTGTCATGTGCAGGCGACCGAGGGTTCCAACTCTGACAACAAAACGGGTCCCCGGAAGAAGTCAATCAAGGAGGGAAAATGAAGCTATTGGAAGCCCTATTTTCTGCAAAGGACCCCGAGCGCATCTATGCCGTTATTTGATCTAGCTTAACGGCGTCAAAATTCTAAAATGTAATAACGAAACCACGCTAACATGGGTGTGGGAAGCGGTCAGAATGCGAAGGTAACAAATCCTTGGGTGGTGGACTCGAAACATGCCCTGCGGCTACTGCAACAACCGAATCCGGACGTTCCAACTAGCGACTGGACGGTGTTAAGCGTGGTAAAATCTATCAACGAAAATGAAAGCCAAAACAAACATCCTCCAGACCAATAAGGCGGCAAAGGGTTTTCTGTACGCAAGGTTCGGGAAGAAGACAAGGGGCGTTGAAAACCTGTTCCGTCGCCTTCAAGAAAAGCCACCCCACGGACTGTAATAAAACTACGCATAGAAGGGGTTATGGCTACTTCATACAGGAGGTAGATAAAGAACCCGGTCGATCGTCAGTCTGATGGTCCAGAACCGAGAGCTAAGGGTACTCCAAGTGAACCTCCACAAAAGTAAAATCGCTTTTGCCGAGCTTCTTCTCAATTTAGAGAAGGGCGGCTAGGGGAGGGCTTTATTCCAGGAACTATGGAATGCATTGGGTAACGTCTTCGTTGGGCTGATGTCACAAAATTACTCAACATCATAGAATATTCTCCCATATTGATTTAATGCGCCGGCGAGACGATCAAATTAACTCATCAAAACCTTAAGTGTCTTGGTGTCGTCGGCTTTTGTCGGCTACACGTATATTACACAGACTTGTTGTCGGCTCTGTTTGATGAAAATCAAATATTTCTGATATTTGAATTTGACGGCCGCTAATTTGATCGTCTCCACTTATCCTTGACAAAAACAAGCTCAGTGTCGTTGTGATATTCCAAGTACGCGGATGAGAAAAAATTTATTTTGAATTTTATTGAACTGTACCAATGCTTATCAGCTGTATGGAATATAAAGCTGGAAGCATATAGTAACAGGGATGAAAAGCAAAAAATATATCAAGTGCTGTTAGAAAGCTATAAAGGACAATACCCGACTGCAACTTTAGATGATGTAAAAAGAAAAATTAATCTCTTGCGAACAAATTTTCGTCGCGAAAAGCAAAAACTGGCGGAATGTGGCAGAAGTGGAGCTGGTGCTGAGGACTTGTTCGAGCCTAGTTTGTTTTATTTTATAGCAATGCAGTTCTTAAATGACGTAGAAACACCCAGCACATCAAAAAATACAACGGTAAGTAAAATCGATAAAAAATAAAGTTTCTATTTCATTGCATTTGTATATTAAAATAATATAGTGATTCATGTTTGTTAATTTCTGAATTTTGTTTGCCAAGATACTGCACCTTCGTTGCTGTAAGTATCGCGAATTTGTTTCGCTTTATTTGAGGAATTACGTATTTGTGGACATTCCAGAGCATTCAGATCTATCTCATTGCGCCAGCTTCCTTCCTTTAAATTTCCTGTGTTAGTAATGTCTTGGTCAAATAGATAGCAACAAGCTAAAACAATAGTTTGTGCTTTTTCTGGTGYGAGTGAAATAGTKGTTTGCAGAACGYCRAACCTTRATGCCAATATTCCAAATACATTTTCTACAATTCTGCGTGTTCTGCTCAATCTATAATTGAAACGGTAAACGGTTTTAAAAGGTTTTCCTGCCTGTGGAAGTATTGGCAAAGATTTGCTGTAGAGTTCTCTCCCAAAATCGGTATTTTTTATTACTCCTCCGTCCGAAATACGACCAYTCGTGCCAACGTCAGCTAGTATGAATTCATACTTCGCATTAACCGTTGCTATGAGTACAATACTATGAAATTTCTTATAGTTGTAATAGAATGAGCCGGATTTAGCCGGTTTTATAATTGCGATGTCTTTGCCGTCGATAGCTCCTATGCAATTGGGGAAATTCCATGCTTCATTGAAATCATCTGCAATTTTTTTTCAATCTGATTCTGATTGCGGCACCTGAAAATAAAACATATACAAATAATTAATATTTCTTTACTATAATAAATAACACATGGATAATATATTCTAATTTCTTTATAATTTCAGAATCCCTGTAAACAACCCGTCCCCAAGTCGGCGAAAAGAAAACCTGATGCTGCTGATGCTCTATTAGAAATTGCAACAAAAAGATTTGCCGAAAAGGAGCCCAAAAAACCCACAGCGATAACCGATGCCAAAGAATATTTTGCGAATATAGGTTAGAGGACATTTTGTTTGAAGGAAAAATGGGACCCTCCACAGACACTCCATGAAAATTAATGAGCCAACACCAGCAAATTTTCGACTCCTTTCACCTACAAGGGCAGCGGCACCTTTAACCATGGTGATGTGTCACAGTCATCAATAGCAAGCTTTTTTTCTTCTTTTAAAGAATAATTTGATTTTCATGAGTAAATTGCTTCCGTTTTTGGTACCAAATTTTCACAAACTCCGTTTTCTTTTGACCATTTGCTTTCTTTTTTTTTTCACAATAACACTGCCACAGACGCTAATAAAAGTAAATCGTCTTCCGATGACGACATGATAACCGAACGCTATGAGTACAAATTAAAAATGATGATTGCCGTGTTTATTTGAACGTTTGCTGACAACACACGAGCGAACTTCACTCACACATATGCAATGCTTGACGTAATTATTTGATCGTCTCGCCAGGCCATAAGTCTTTCCACAGGTGATGTGACGGTGGTGGTAGTTAAGGATGTCAAGGATGAGTCTTTACTCCTTCCATTCTGCTATATGCCACACTATTGCGAGGTGCCAACGGCAGAGCTCTAAAGACTGGCCACTAAATCCAGCAGTAGGAAGCAGGTTTTAGTGGTGTGTGCTGATACTAACGCCCATAATATGGTTTGGGGCAGTCTCAACATCAATCAACGACGTGTGTCACTACTCAAATATATTTTACAAAGAAGGCTAGGGGTAGCTAAACGAGGCGAGAAGCACTTACGTAGGACCCACTTCCAGAAACGTTCTAGACATAACTCGATGCACAGATAGGGGTGCATTGGTAGAAAATTAGAAAGTGCTAAACATTCCATCGTTCTCTGACCAAAGGTACATCTAGGAGGAACGGAGAGTGAACGGACAAGTGCCAGGACTAATTGAAAGACCTAGTCAGTGTGCACTTTCCAGCAGTGCTATAAAATGTACTCTGTTTATCCGTGCCGCGACTAAAAGCGATTTTTAGGGGATGAAGTACAGGCATGTACCACAGTCATGGAAAGAGGCTAGAGTAGTTTTCATCCCGAAAGCAGGTAGAAATAACCCAACCTACTCAAAAGAGTTTAGGCCTATAAACTTAACTTCCTTTCTTCTGAGAACTGATGCATGTCCAATTGCGTAGCTCGCATATACGAAGGGCTAATGCACCTGAAGGCAATTCTAGAGCAACATCTACGTAGACAGCCAAGCAGCAATCAAAGCTGTAACCTCGTAGCGTATATTGGACAGAAGTGTCTTGAGAAGAAAGGCAGAAGTTAAAAGTGTCGTCAGAAGCAAGCAATTTTACTGGGTCCCAGATCACAAAAGCCTCGAGAGAAATGAGATAGTGGCCGATATTACAA